GAAATCTTTTAGGACTTACTCGTAGTAGCATAAAAGTTCTAATGGGTGTCTTTACTGGGCACTGCCGATTAAAAGCACACCTCAACTTGTTGGGTTTAGCCGACGATGTTGAATGCCGACTATGTGCGAAGAAAGCGGAGCCGGTTGAGCATGTTTTATGCAACTGCTCTGCTGTTAACCGTATCAGATTCTCGATTTTTGGGTCTCAGTTTATCTCCCCAAAGGATCTGAATGACCTTTCACCGAGCAAGGTTCGTTAAGAGCATTGGACTGCACGGTGAAATTTGAGTTTTGGGAAACAATGTATAATCATTATAATGTAAAAAATAAAAAATTGGAAAAATGTAGAATACTGTTGTACACTCATTATCATGTTACGAATAGTCTTAATTCACATGATCGGTGTTGCAAATTTTTGGAGAAATAACTTAATTTTGTGATTATATCTCATTAAAATAAATACGCCAACCTCAATAATACTCATATTCATTTCAAACTAATAAAACTAATATTTATCAGGTGGACATTCAACTTTTACGCCTTTAATTAATTCGTTTGTACACGTTATAATGTACACGTACTATTTATTGGCAGGCCTAGGGCCAAAATTTCAAAAGTATCTATCCTGGAAAAAGCATATTACCCAGTTACAATTGGTATGCATTATTTTAAAACATAAACATTATTATAAAAGAGTTCTTTTAGGTGCAATTTGTAATTATTTTAATTCATAACCTTCAAGCTTTACCTAGAAAATGTGATTACCCAAAATTCTTGAATGTGCTAGGGATAATTGAGGGTTTTTTATTTATATACCTCTTTTCAAAGTTTTATACCAAAACTTACCACAATAGTAATAAGACAAAGGGTCGAAGGAATACAAATGGAGAATTAAATAATAAAAGTTTAAGTGAAAAAAAAATTAATTAATGCATTGTAAAAATGTATAGGTAAATAAATTTTAATAAATATAAATATTTATAAATATTATATGTAAAATAAAATAAAAATATAGCATATAAATGTAATACTTTTTAATTTATGTGGCTAATACTTTCTAAAGTTTCAATAAATAACAGAAAATATCATTTCTATAATGTTAACTGATTCAATCATCAAATTGGCATCAGCTTCTGTAAAACTAATCAGTGAGACTAATGAAAGATGAAAAAGAGAAGAGCTAGAAAGAGAGTTGAAATCGACACCGTCGTAGCAGTACCAATATACGATTTGTTGCTTACACGCAGAGACCAAGACGACAACGTAAGTACGTAAGTAAATGCAGAAATAACAACATAAAAGGGTAAAGAAAGGGGCAAAATTGCAGTCAATGACATAAATGAAAATTAAAACTGTAAAAGTGTACGATATTTTAGGCCCCTTTTCAAGCAAGTTTTTCTCGTGCAATCTTGATGCTAAAAGCTCTGAAGCTATTTTGGATAGCCCTAAATCTCGTACCAAATTAATCAACTCATGTTGCTCAAATCCCTTACGAATGGAATCATCTTCACTTTAAAATATACTAACTTCCATAAAAATTGCAACACCTAGAATTTGTTGAACGATTTTATTGAAATTTTCGTCAACCATGTCCTTCATTAGAACAAACAAACGATTAAAATTTGAATAAAATCTATCTAGTAGTTTGGTTCTTTTTTTGCCTTTTTCTTTGCACTTAGTGACAATAAATTTGAAGAATCAGTGTGTAATCTACTGTCAATTTTGCAAATTATTGTTCACAATTTCGTTCTGAACTTGGGAACAATGCCACGAGTCATTGAACATCAACATTTTTCCCAATTGACCGATTTTGAACGTGGCCGTATTATTGGCATGAGAGAGGCTAGACTTTCGCTAAGAGAAATTGCTCGTCATGTAAACCGAAATGTTACAACGGTATTGAGATGTCGTCCAGAACCAACGTCGCCCTGGTTCTGGACGTCCCCGCAGGACTAGAGATCGCGAAGAACGTCGCTTAAGACTTTTGGCCACAAGAGACAAATTTTCAATAACTCGATCGATTGCAAATGATTGGATGAGAGGTGTAGGACCCAGAATGTCAATGTCATCTGTTTATCGCCGGATAAGATCGGTAGGTCTTCGTTAGGACCTCCTGTAGCAGGTCACCCTTGGTCTTCATTGATGGCAACTTTAACGCCGCTCATTATATTGCCAATGTGCTAGAACCCGTTGCGCTTCCATATTCGAAGGAATTCCATTTAGGAGTTTGAAAATCCCATTTTCTAACAGGATAATGCGTGGCCTCATACGGCAAGGGCTACAACACTTTTTTTGGAAGAAGCTAACATTGGCGTCCTCCCATGGCCTGCTCGATCGCCTGATTTATCGCCCATTGAACATATATAGGATGAGATCGGTAGGCGACTGGGTAATTTACCACACCCTCCAGATAACTTACCCGATCTCCAGCTACGGATTGAAGAAGCTTGGGTTGATATACCACAGGCAGCTATCGTGGCGGAGCAACTCATTATTGAAAAAAACTTTTTAGTTTGTATTGCTGTAACCATTATTTCTTTCCATTTTATTTTAAATAAAGTAAAATACTTTTATCTACGACTGCTTGGATAAGTCATCATTACCGCACTCATTTGAGGTGATTTGAGTTACGTAATGAAGTTCATTACCGCACTGGTTTCATTACGTAACGCATTTTTAGCCTAATCAGAACAGACTTAATTTATTGAAACGAGCAACAATACAAAAGAAAAAGTGCTATCAACTTACAGAGAAACAATACTATTTATTATAAACATTAATTGTTATGTTTTTACATTTCAAAACACTTATTCCAGATGAGTAAACATGTTGTTGAAACTGACAATTCAAAATTGTCGCCAATCATTTCAAAATATTTTTATAAATGTCAAATAGGTTTTTCTAAAGAAATTGATTTTTTAGTAATTTTTAGCAGTCGTAGATAAAATGCTGTATATCATACGTGGGCTAGAGCATAATTACAGTACTCGTGTGATTGCACGAGGAGGTTCGACTACGACCTCGTCGTGCAATTCTCCACGCTCGTACTGTAATTATGTTTCTAGCCCACTTGTAATATAAATAACTATTATCTTTCTGTACTTTTATTAAAATGGATGTAATGTTATAAATTCTACCGGTTTCGGTCCTTTTATAAAACCATCTTCAGGAACCTTCAAATCTCCTATTACAAAATAACAACTACTATACTTAAAAATGTTAAAAATCAATATAAAATTGTATTCATTGAAATGTTGATAATTGTCTTTTAGATTAAATATTAAATTCTAATACACTTACGTCAATTTAATTTTAAAGCTCTCGTGACAATTTGCATCTTGAAATTTCTATAAAGCGTTTTATTGAAAAGTGTCTATGTTATTGTTAATAGTAGAATTGCGTATCAAGTCTAAACTAACGAACAAGATGGTTTTATAAAAGGACCGAAACCGGTAGAATTTATAACATTACATCCATTTTAATAAAAGTACAGAAAGATAAAAGTATTTTACTTTATTTTTAGTTTTTGTTCTTTTGTTTACAAATTTTAATCGTTTGTTTGTTCTAATGAAAGACATCGTTGACGAAAATTTATAATAATATTAAATAAAAAAATAAAATATCGTTCAATAAATTCTAGGTGTTGCAATTTTTGTGGAAGTCGGTATATGTAAAATAGGCTTGCCTGACAAATAAACTGATCGGATGTACTGTTTGTTCTTTGACTGACTAAGCACTTATGACGTAAACTGGCAGAGGCAGATGTAAAGAAATATATGAGAGACTAATTTTATCCATTCTCTCTTCTGAAAATCTTTTCTTCTTTCCATATCTTCGTGATTAGTAAGTGGAAACAGGAAACCAGCTCTTCACCTCCGTGTTCAAAATTTCATTCCTGGGCCTTCTTATTTCGTAGGGCTTCGATTGTGACTCTTAATCTAATCGTTGGTGGTGCTGTAGCCTCCTCTTCAGTTTCACTTCCTTCCACAATTTGTGTTGTTTGCTCTCGCGTTCTGAGATTTAAAAGTTCTTGAAAGTGAACGTTACATGTGTTCTTGATATCTTCCAGATCGCTGGTTGATAAACCATGACTTAAGATATTTGTACACATCTCTAATATTGTTTCGTTTAATGTTTTCTTCCATTTGAAGTATCCGGTTGTCTTCATACTTTCTCTTCATCTGTCTACATATTTCTTCATATTTTATCTGTTCGTTCCTAATATTAGTTGCTAGTCTGCATTCGTTATCACTAGGGCTCGGATTTTATGCAAAATGCATCTTCTTTATATTCTGGAATATTTTTTTCAAAATTGGTTTCTGGACGAATTACATAAAAATATGGCAGATGGTACAATAAAAAATTGCATATTTTGCATATTTTTTACAATTTTTTTGATTGTTGCATAAATTGGCCTTTTACTGCATATTTTGTCATTTTACTAGATTTGTTTCTTGTTGCTTAATAAAATAAATATAATGACTGCGTCATTTTTAAATATGCGAACATACCTTTTAGTTTAAAGCACAATATCAAAAATATCCTGTTTGATTGCGTGTTGGTTTCTTGTTTACAACGATTCACAGAAACATGCGGGAAATCCCCAGCGCTGTTGAGTTTAAGTTTAAGGAAATCCGCAACCATAGTTACTGTGGCTGTGTTCAGTGTGAGTGAACATTAATCTACCAATCTATAACAACAATGCCTAAAGTGATTTAAGTAATGAGGAATTATTTTGTAAAACTTGTGCCAAAGTTGTAAGCATTTTTTTAAAAATTATGTCGTAGCGTTTTAGCCAAAGATTTAAGTTAAAAATTAGAGTTTTCAGAGAAGTCGCCAATGGTTTGTTCCGAAATTGTATTTCTCATAGACTTTTACATTAGGAATAAAAAAAATGGAAAACTGTTAAATTAAAACTATATTAAATTTGATGTCTCAGAATTAAATTTTTAATCTGTTAGAGTATCTATGGCTAACTTTTTTAATTATTCTTTTTTAAGATAACATGTGAGAGGAAGTCCCAAATAGAACACCATGTGAAAAGTGCATAAAAAAACATATACAAAAATATGACAGAAATAGATTGATAACAACTATAAGAAAGCATATTTTTAGCATATTTTGAATAAAAAGCTTGCATAATTATGCGCATATTTCCTATAATTTGACTGCATAAAAATCCGAGCTCTAGTTATCACTTTTTAGTCATCATTCAATAAAAACTATGTACCAATTTAAACTATTTATAAGTCCTGGGAGGCGTTTTGAAAATATTGGAAAAAAGTAATTTTTTGCTCAACTTTGAAGTGGGTAAACAAAACTACTTGGTACACTTGGGACACATCTAATATGCTAAATATAAATCTGTTCATTTACAAAAATTAATAAAATATAAAATTAAAAAATTCTTTTTGCTTATATTTTATAAATAATGTATAGATTTACGTAATAAATATAGTGCATTGATTTTTCGTGATTCCATGATTTGGAAGATGTTTACTACGACGTTTTGATTTATAATACTAAATAAAATCTTCTGTGGTTCCAACTTCTAATGCTAGAATATGGATGAATGCCATAAATATTGATACGATGTGGAAAATGACTATACAGAAAATCAAAAACGCTATGCGCACGAATGATCTGTTGACCTATATTATGCGAAAAAGTAAATATATAGGTAATGAATTGCTGCGATCTGTCTTATTTTATATACTACCGTATTTTCTCGAATCTAATCCGCACCCTTTTTACAAATTTTGTATGCTCTAAAATCAAATGCGGATTACAATCGGATGTGGATTACATTGGAAAACCAACTTTTTTTACCATCATTGCATTTTTAAAATCGAGGTGCGGATTAGATTCGAGTGCGGATAAGATTCGAGAAAATACGGTATATTGCTCCATTCATAGTTTTAAGAAAGAAATTCAAAAATGTTTCTTGAATTATACAACAAATATAATTATGAACTGGCAGGTAATGAAAAAGCTTATTGAATTATTTTCTTAAATTACTTTTTTAAATTACTTCATTTTTAAATTTTCAACATTTAATTATTAATTACTTAGCATTTAAATCACATTCTGTTTTAGATCCGAGATCTAACGATTTTTTGCTTATGACGTCACCATTTAAAGTGCTTGCAATACTAGCACTTTATCTATGGTTTTGCTTAAAGGCCGGTCCTCATTTTATGAAGGATAGAAAACCATTTCAATTAAGAAAAACATTAGTAGTTTACAATTTAATTCAAATTATTTTAAGTGCAATCTTTTTTAAAGAGGTAAGTATGTTACCATAAATAATAAATATATTAAAAAATGTATTCTTTTTGTTAGGCTCTCATGATGTGGTTATACGTGTACGACTTGAGATGCACTCCTGTAGATTATTCAGTAAATCCCAAGAATACACATTTAATGTTTATAGGTCATATATATTTTTTATCAAAAATATCTGAACTTCTAGATACTGTCTTCTTTGTGCTACGGAAAAAATATTCACAAATTACAACATTACATTTATATCATCACACTATTATGGTTGTTATTTGTTGGGTTATACTTAAATACATGGCAGGTAAATTTGTATTGTAACAGAATTTGGCTTAAATTATTATAATAATAATAATAATTGAAGGGTTTATTTCAAAAACGACACATGTCCATAAATGTTTTGTGTCCATGTGTCGTTTTTGAAAGAAACCCTTCAATTCTATTGATATTAGGCGGTCAGATAGGATTTCTTGTATTAGTTAACTCATTTGTACACATAGTAATGTACACATATTATTTATTAGCTGGATTAGGACCCATGTTTAAAAAGTATTTAACATGGAAGAAGCAAATTACGCAATTACAATTGGTACTATATGTCTACTGCTTTTACTGAAATATTCTTCTAATAACACATTTCAGGTTCAATTTGTAATAATATTGATATACAATCTACAAGCTTTACCCAGGGAATTATTCAAAAATAATGCATGTACTTCAAATTGTGGAAAGTTTAATTTTTATATACATGTTTTCATCGTTCTATGTCAAGGCTTATAACACAAAAAAGCCGATCGATTCAATCAACGAATCAAGTAAGAAAGTTTGTGAGGTCAAGAGTAGTTAATATAGTATAATTTTCATTAACGTTGTATGGACTTCAAATGTTATGGAATAAAAAATTGATGTAATTTTTGTATAATTTCTTCGCTTGTAATCATGGCGCTGGAATCAGTATCATATCGACACATAGTTTGTCAGCTTTCGACTTGTCATTTTGTCTGATAGCATTGTATATATATAGCAGCATTACCATTACACGTTAAAGGACAGGAATAACAGAAAGGATGGTAATATCCCACCTTCTGGTTGTTTAATATATATGTTACACACGTTAATATCAAATTCCGATTAATATTTATTAATTCGGCTCTACCGACTTTTCCCGGAATTAAACCTTGTGACGTTGGTCCTTTAATTGTGCATGTGAATGACATTAATTCGGTCCAGAAATGTACAGGTTGAAAGGAATCCTTGTCTGATAATTTCCTTACACCTTGTGGCGTAACATAGAGGTAAGTGCAACCGTCCGGCAAACGGGAGACCTCGGTTCGAGTCCCGGCGTTGCTAATTTTTCCTTTCTGTTATTCCTGTCCTTTAACGTGTAATGGTAATATCCCACCTTCTGGTTGTTTCATTTATACGTTACACACGTTAATATCAAATTCCGATTAATATTTATAAAGCCATTACCGCAAGAGTACTACAAAGCAGTGTACTAGGGTCAGTCCTACATCTACTATATACCAATGATACTGCTGAAGGCCATTATTATATTCGCCAAGAGTCAGAAACAACGACTGCATCATCACATTAATGCCGAAGCCATCTACTAAATCCTCGACAATGCGAACCAAATCAGAACACTCAAGAGGATTAAATCCTTTGAGATGGTGTAATTTGTATTAATACAAAAGAAGAATATAGTGACAGTATTATTCATTGATCAGACTAATGATCAGATTGTAATATAAATGAAACGAGAAGGAAGAGATACCTTATAGATTTAAGAAGAGATATAATTTGAAGAAAGACTCAAATCCAGGTTTTCTGCTGGCCGCGCGATTGCACAGATTCCGTATCGATAAATTTAAGATTGGTAAGTGTACCAACAAATGCTTCTCTGTACAAGAAACATTGAGCGTGTTAGAAGCCGAAGTTGATGTTAGTCGTAGTAGAAGTGATCTCTGTCCTGAAATTACCACGTTGTAATGTTGATTATATTAGAATACAAAACAAAATTTGGAGGAAAAACAAGAAATAATAATGGCAGATGATTACGTTTAGAACAAATACGTTCTTTAAATATAGAGATATCTGCAAATATGCAAGGGAATAGAGAGAAGAAAGGAAAGATAGTGATAGACTTGCACTACTAGACATAAAGAATAGAAGAAGATACGAAATAGGAGGATCTATAAATAACTCCGAAATGAAGATGTTAACAAGAAATTTGAGGAAATTGTGACGATAATATTAATTACAAGACAAACTAGACAATTTTACACTGAAAGAATTTGGAAAGAAAGATGAATAAAAACAAATCAAAAGTTATGGTGATGGAGAAGTGGAATTGATGAAAATGAATGGTGACCTAGGAATAGAAATACAACGTTACAGAAAATATGAAAACATTATGATATGAATGATCTATTTATTAAGGAAATAGAGATATCGATGGAGACAAACAACGTTACATACAAAGAAATATATAAACCAATAGTTATCTCTGGATGTAAGAAGTGGATACTTATAAATAGAGAAAAGAGCAAACTGCGGGCTAGTGAGACGAAATATCTGAGGAGGGTTGAGGTGGTGACAAAGATGGATAAGATCAGAAATGGCGATATAAGAAAGGCACCTCGAAGATCAAATGATAACTGGTAATAAACTACGGAAATCGTGCAATTTACTATTCCAATAACACTCAGATTATCCAAGGTGAAGAAATTCTTTTCTCAAAGGAAGTCAAATATCTAGGAGTAATCCTAAACAAAAACCCTCTCATGGAATGGACATTTACAGGGAGTTTTGCACAAAGCTAGACTATCCTTGTGGACTTGTCACAATCTTTGTGGAAAAAATTGTGGTCTTACCCCTGAAAGATTGTACTGGCTCTATGTGACTGTGGTTATACCTATGATCACACATGGAGCAGCAGTCTGGTATAGAAAGGTCCGACAGACTTCAGTTATTTTATTTATTTATTAACACTATAGGCACAGAAACGGGACGAACCCACAGGCTCTGTGCCACAAAATAATACAAAAACAAATCACCAAAAAACAATGTTAAACGAAAATTACATTAACAGCGTAACGAATTAGTTGAGATAACAAAAATTAAGATAAAATGATTGACTTTATAATAATAACAAAAGACATTGCAAAAAAAAAACGCAAATTAAACCGTATTAACGAATTACTTAAATTAATTAATCAGCTTTAAGCTTAGAATATGCAATTACCAAATGTTTAAATTCTCTGCATGAACTACTGAAGATATCAACCCCCGCGTTGCGATGAAAATGATCACAAGTGTGCGCCATTCTCCGCATAGCAGAATTCTGAAAGACGGCCGTGCGAGGAATGGGGGTGTAAAATATATAATCAAATCGGGAAGGAACTTGGTCGTTTTGAATGTCGATAATTTCTAACTGCATTGACTCTGGCGCATTTTCAACTGAAATTGTGAAAGGATTGCCGAATATGTCCAACAGAGGTTTCACTTTTTTAAACTCCGAAAATCTGTCTTGAAAAGATTGAATCAAAATATCTAGCTTTTCTACATAACTGAAATTAATCGCAGTTTTGTTGAATTTTTTAGCCATTTTCTTATAATTCGGAAAATGATTGTAATTTCCAGAATTCAATTGCGATCTGAAAAGTGTCAGCTTGCTTTGAAAGGATGATACATGAGCGTAGAGCTGGGATATCAGTTGCTTTTTGCCTTGAAGCCGTGTGTTCAAGACATTCAAATGATTTGTAATGTCAACTAAAAAAGCCAAATCACACAACCAATCAGGATTGTTAAGTTCCGGGACACCTTTTGCTTTTCCGCCAGAAATATTCCAATTTCTTCTATTAAATTTAGAAATCGTTCCATTGTCAATCCACGACTTAGCCACCTTACTTCTGTATAATACAGTAAATCTCCATATTCGCTTTCGATGTCATCAAGGAATTGTTTGAATTGCCTGTGATTGAGTCCTCGTGATTTTATGAAATTTACAGTCGAAACTACCACTTTCATGACATTTTGAAATTCAATTTTTTTAGAACAGAGGGCTTCTTGGTGTATAATGCAGTGAAACTGCATGAGATCTTCAGCGTTTATGTTTTTTTCTTGCAGATGCTTTTTCAGCAAAGTAACTAGAACGGAATTGACACCAATCATCGAAGGAGCACCGTCAGTCGCAACTCCCGATAATTTTGATAAGTCCAAATCAGTTTTTGAACACTCATCCAAAAGTACATTGAGTATATCAACTCCTTTGGTTTGACCTTTCAATGAACACATTCCTAATAACTCTTCTAAGACTTCAAAATCTTGAGTAACACCTCGTATGAATATGAGAAGTTGAGCTGTGGAACTAATATCAGTGGATTCGTCGAGTGCTAATGAAAAAAATTCAATGATCTTAGTTTTTTCAGTTAATTGTTCCGCAATATTACCTGACAAAGACATAATTCGTCTTTGGATAGTCATACGATTCAGTTGAATTTTCTCAAACTTTTTTGCTGCTTCTGGACACATTTTCTTAGCGGCAATTTCTATGTATTCTTTTACAAAATCCCCATCATTGAAGGGGCGACTTCGCTTTGCTATCATTCGAGAAATCTCATAACTAACTTCTGTAGCTGTTTCTGAATCTTGAATGGGTTTTATAAACATAGCTTGCTGACCAATAAGCTCCCGTTTTAAAGACAACATTTTTTGCTTTCTTAATTCGCCTGTAAACTTGGTAAAAGTAGGATGCTGCGTTTCATAGTGCCTTTTTACTTTATATTCCTTTGCAATCGCAACAGAATTCTTGCAAATTAAACAAACGACTTTGTTATGCGACCATACGAAAAAGTATATCTCAGTCCAAATTTCTTGAAACTGCCGATTTTCATCTTTAACCTTACGTTTATTACTAGGTCCTGGCTTGTCCATGTTGTGTTCTAATCCTGGCTAGGATTAACACAGCACCTAAAAACAATTACAGTACCTACTTAAATTACCCATCCTTGGCGCGGTATTTGAATGATTTTCATAAGTTTTATGGACGTCGCTCACAATATCAAAAGAAACAAAGTACTTTAATATTTATTATTTTTCGAATGTACGAGAATGTTATTTTTGCTGTCGGCGGGCCACCAGTATCCGACCGGCGGGCCGCATGCGGCCCGCGGTCTGTGCATCTCTGCTTTAGAGGTTGTTCAATGTGTCGGATTTTCTATACTTTTCCTCGTGGTTCGTGTGAGATGTTAATTGAATTTTACTCTCTGACTAATATCTCGTGATTTGACGGTAACTATTAACATCCTATTATCTAGTTAATTTTAATAATAACAAATAATTTGTACATTTCAGTTGTGCCAGAAGAAGAGAGAAGTTACTCCGGAAACTAGTAGCACTGATCTTAAATATTTTTTAATAAATATATTTTCATCGTTTTTTCAAATCTTTTCTTTCGACCATTACGATGAACCTCGAATCGAAGATCGCAAGAATAATGTCTTACATGTCTGAAGACTGAATTACATCCTGTCAACATCAACATCGTTTTGAATGCGTTCGGTCGTGAATCATCATTTCTTTTAACAAAGATGTTTCACTTTTTGGTCTACACATATTTACAAAGCTTTTTCTTTCGCTATATTTCTGGCCTTAGCAAACAGCACATTGTTTATAAGTTTAAGTACTCGTTGATAAAACACCGATCTCCAATACCCTGGAAAGTGAGGCCCAGCCTTCACCGATTTTCTCGTCAGTCTTGAAGCAGGGAGAAAACTGTCGCGTTTGAGTCGGCTGCAAAACCGGACAATAATTGGCTTAGGAACGCATCGCCGGCCCCTTGTCTCACGAGCACCAGGTCCATGCGGAACGCGGTGAATATCATCAACATCAGCAGCCACGATTGGAACATCCAGAGTGCCACCCATTGCGGTAGTGACCGAATCAGGTTGTTGCCATTCTTTTCCGGTACTCCCTAAATTTCAATACAGTACCTGCGGAAATATTGCTCCAGGTCCGCCACTCGCCCCGACAAGTCCGTAACCCGCTTCTTTAAAAGCGCATTCTCGGCATTTAACTAGTCAATCATCTTGAGGTGCTCCTGAATACCCTTTGGACACCTCGAAGTCCGAGACCCTTTGGCTACAAAACTGGACCGAGTTCACCAGGTCATCATAGCCAGTAAACAACACCCGCCGTTCAGATCGGAGCTCCTTCACCATATATTTTGCCTCAAGTGTAATATTGAAAAAAAATACGAGAACGACGCGTCGTTATTGTGACGGTATTGACGGTATTAATACGATATTGGATACGACGGCATCCAACAGCCAAGACATTTCCAAGACCCTTCAGCTGCGTTTAAAGCAGCAGCGGACGCCTTTGGCCTATCACCTCGAATTAAGCATGCTTACAGCCTGGGTACGTACTGTATGTATTCCAGGCGGAAGTATTTGCTATTGACATGACTGCTAAAATCCTACTTGAGAGAGGGGTAAAGAACATGATAGTACGACTTTTCTCAGACAGTCCAGCTGCTCCCCAGGCGCTGCAAGCCGTGAAAACGGTATCGGCTCTGGTTAATGATTGCAAATGAACATTTAACACACTGAGTTGTGATAACAGAGTCACTCTGGGGTTTCTGGCAATGAAGCGGCAGATGAGCTAGCACGAGAGGGCAGCGCTAAAGCGTTTGTGGGGTCTGAACCATCAGTTGATGTATCATTTGCGATGGCCAAACATAGGCCATTGGACTGTGGACTGAAGAGAGACTTCGCCTACTGTCGATCAGTTTTCCTGGAAGGAGACATGCTAAGGTGTTTATTAACATCGCCACTGTCAAACCCTTTTAGGGAATCGTTTAGGACTTACTCGTAGCAGCATAAACGTTCTAATGGGTGTGTTTACTGGGCACTGCCGATTAAAAGCACACCTGAACTTTTTGGGTTTAGCCGACGATGTTGAATGCCGACTATGTGCGGAGGATGCGGAGCGGTTGGGCAAGTTTTATGCCACTGCCTACGGTTGTTAACCGTATCAGATTCTTGATTTTTGGGTCGCAGTTTATCTCCCCGAGCACAGTGAAATTTGATAACGATATCTATCGGGATACAACAGATCCTTAGGGTCGCGGTGCAAGGTTGGTTGGTCCGCCCACCCGATATGTAATCTATGTAATGTAATGTAACACTCAGATAAAATGGAAAATTGTTATATCAACAACTTATATTAGGTTTTTGATTAATTATTGGGAAACTAGTGTCAGATATAATTTGAAATTAAAGGTATCAGTTATAGGCTCATCAAAACATAATCATTATGATGTAAAAATTAAAAAACTAGAAAAACGTAGAATACTGTTGTACTCATATTTAATTATCATTGTACGAATAGTCTTAATTCACATGATCGGTGTTGCAAATTTTTGGAGAAATAATTTTTTGATTATATCTCATTAAAATAAATACGCAATAGTACACTTATTCATTTCAAACTAATAAAACTAATATTTATCAGGTGGACATTCAACTTTGAAGCGTTTAATTAATTCGTTTGTACACGTTATAATGCATACGTACTATTTATTACCAGGTCTAGGGCCAAAATTTCAAAAGTATTTATCCTGGAAACAGTAAATTACCCAGTTACAACATAAACGTTATTATAAATTAGTTCTTTTAGTTGCAATTTGTAATTATTTTAATTCTTAACACTCAAGCTTTACTTAAAAAATGTGATTATCCAAAATTTTTGATTGTGCTAGGGATAATTGAGCGTTTTATATTTATACACCTCTTTTCAAAGTTTTATACCAAAACGTAGCACAACACTAATAAGTCAAAGGGTCGAAGGGATACAAATGGAGAAATTAAACAATAAAAGTTTAAGTGAGAAAAAAATTAATTAAGGCATTGTAAAAATGTATAGGTAAATAGATTTTAATAAATATAAAAAAATATATATGTAAAATAAAATAAAAATTTAACATATAAATGTAATACTTTTTAATTTTTGTGGCTAATACTTTATAAAGTTTCAATAAATAACAAAATATCAATTCTATAATGTTAACTGATTCAATCATCAAATTGGCATCAGTTTCTGTAAAACTAATTAGGGAAATTAATAAAAGATGAAAAAGAGAAGAGCTAGAGAGGGAGTTGAAATCAACAGCGTCGTAACAGTACCAATATAAAATTTGTTGCTTATAAGCAGAGACCAAGACGACAACACAAGACGTCGGGTGGACGCGAATTATATCTCAATTACAGAAGTAAATGCAGAAGTAACAACATAAAACGGTAAAAACGGGCAAAATTGCAGTTAATTAGATAAATGAAAATTAAAACTGTAAAAGTGTACGATATTTAAAGCCCCTTGTCAAGCAAGTTTTTCTCGTGCAGTCTTGATGCTAAAAGCTCTGAAGCTTTTTTGGATAGTCCTAAATCTTGTACCAAACTATTCAACTCATGCTGCTCAAATCCCTTACGAATGGAATCATCTTCACTTTAAAATATGCAAAATAGGCTTACCTAACAAATGTACTGATGTTTGTTCTTTGACTGACTATTTAAGCACTTACGCCGTAAACTGGCAGAGGTAGATATAAAGAAATATATGACAGATAATTTGGCTCCATTTTTATATATTGGACAGGCAAAAACTTTTCGCCCACACCCTTGAAATCCTTTCTTCTTTGCATATCTTCGTGATTAGTAGGTGGAAACAGGAAACCAACTCTTCGCCTCCGTGTTCAAAATTTAATTCCTGGTGCCTTCTTATTTCTTATGGCTTCGATTGCCTCTCTTAACCTAACTGTTGGTGGTGCCGTGGCCTCCTCTTCTGTTCCACTTACTTCCATGTTTTCATCGTTTCTTTCGTACACAATTTGTGGCTCTCGCGTTCTTAGATTTAAAAGTTCGTGAAAGTAAACGTTCCATGTGTTCTTGATGTCTTGTAGATCTATGGTTGATAAGCCATGGCTTATGATATTTGTACGCATCTCTAATATTGTTTCCTTTAATGTTTTCTTCCATTTAAAGTATCCGGCTGTTTTCATAGTTTATCTTGTTCTTTCTACATATTTCTTCATATTGTAGTGTATCCAAATTCATTGTTGTTTAAGTAAATTACAAAACGTTTAACTATAAAATGTAGGCTCAGCAACTTAATTAATAAGTATCAGGTTATCGTCCGTTGAACCGTATTACCGTGGTAAGCATTATTGCTGTACTACTTTAAAATTGATTACGCTTTTGTAATCATCAGAATTGTACGAACCTTTGGGTAAAATACATTAACATGTAGTTGGGAAGAAACTCTTTTATTCAAAAAAACCTAAAACCCTTCAACGATACCACATGGCGATCCTGCCAGTTGTGTTCATAGTGAAACACAGAACAGCGTAAAAAAAAAAGAAAAAGAGAAAATAAATAAATATAAGGAAAAATAAAAAGAAGAAAGAAAATATGGGAAAGCAACAATCCAAGGAAGTTAAAGAAGAGATAATTATAGCTCAATCCGGAAATAGTGGTGGTCAAACATCTGATGTTTCAACGGGTCATATATCCGAAATTTTCGGTATAATCGCATTTATTGGTGTTGTTTTAATCTTTACGTGCTGCTGCTGTGGAGCGGTGATATATTTGGTACGAGCGAGAGAAAGGGCTATGGAAGGAAGATTGAAGCGTCATCTTAGCCGAAGCCAAGACTTATAAATTAAATTCTCCACACCAAGCAAGAGATGTGCGCGATTATGTCTATTGAATGTCGGAAGTGATTGTGACGAGTTTTCGGCATCTTCTTGAAGAGCTGCGTGTAATACAGAGAAACCTAACCAAGGACAATGAAGAGAGGCGTAAGGATATTTCAGTGATTAATCGTAAGGTAATTAAATTAGAAAGCTTAGAAGTTGAATTTAAAGATCTAAAAGAAAA